CATATATCTCGAGAACGAGCGAAGATATCGTAAAATGGACAACATTTTCGTTCTTCACGGTCACAAAATCACGTATTTACTGAAAAAGTTCATCATTCAACGTGTGATATGTAACTTAATTAGTTTTAATATTCATTGGGCACATTGAAAAACATGTTCCCGAGCGATATTCAAAAATAAGCTCCGCCCTAGTGTAACACGATAAATAGGTGATTTTCTCGGTTAAAGATGACTTGGGCTCAAAAACATCTGATTTCTCCCGGAGACAATATTCCATTTGAATAGCTAAAAGTCCCCGGGCTTGAGCGACCATTTGTCACAGTGGTATTTTGTGCTCGGTGGCATAGCAGCGGCCGATTTTGCATACTAAGCATTAGATATTGGGATCATTCTCAGACTCCTTTTACTATAGAAGTATGTATAAGCTTTATAGGGTTCGTTTTTTTTTCTGGAAGGTAAAAAGCGCTACCGACAGAACCCAATTTTAACAGTATGAGGCAGGCAAATTTTCAGAGGTTTCGAAAAAAGTTCTAAACGCAATATTCTGGCTATTTTACATTGAGATATTTAAAGTTTTCCAACGAAAAGCTACCATAATTCACCTGAAAAGACACGTTGATATTTTCCATCATACTATTCAGGTGAATATTACGTGTTTTGGGGGAGAGATTACATTTAAGTGATTCACTAGTGTCCGATGATCTTCAAATTCGCATCACTTAAAAGTTTAGGGAATTATCAAGTAAATGTTACTGGGTTTTGTAATAAGTGAATTGGTGATAGACCAGATACATATTTCGACTTATTTGAGTCATAAAATGAATAATAGAGCTGCATTCTAGGAAAATTCACTTTTTTTTTCGAATTTTCGAAAATGAATGGCATCCCTTTTTGGGCGAAAGTGGAACAGCAGCGGCAAGGTTTGACAGTTGTCACAAATGACGCCAAGATGTCTAACCAGAGTCAATTTGGTTTTAACTACTTTTCTATCCTACAAGCAGGCTTACTCAGATCAGCGCTGCCATTGTCGTTGAGCTTTCCCTACCATTGCGTTGGGACCTTTACTCTCAATATTAATCGTAAAAAGGTGACTATTGTGACTAAATTTTATGAAATAGTTACTTTAGTGACTTTTTGGTGACTGACTGGAAAAAGTGACCAAGTCACTAAAAAATGACCTGCTACCAGTCATGCATTATTTAAAATTTTGGTTCTAATAGCTTGGTTAACTTGACATCTCGACTAGATAGAAGGGTGCTGTATTCAGTAAAGTTGTTCAGATGAACAAGACCCATTGTATCAGTTCAAGACAGCTCAGTTCAGAACTCGAGTCTCACATCAGGCAGTGCGAGTGACTTCTAACTTGTCAACTAAATAGAAGGCAGGGGCGGGACATCATGGTTGAATATATCAAAATATTTTTTGGAATTCTCATTTTCTTCACTAAGACCTAAAAATAAAAGTATCCGTAGAACAAACATTGTTCAACACCAAAAGCTCTATCTTTTACATATATTAGTTTTTGAAAATACAGTCAACTCTCCATACATCGATATTGAACGATCCATGGAGCTATGGGGAAATCAATAACATGAATAGCTTACAAGACCGTTTGAAGGGACCGGGATTACCATCGACATATAGAAAAAAATAGTCTCATATCGAGACACAGAACATCGAGATATGGAGAGTTGACTGTACTTAAATATTTTCGTTGATATTTAGGATTATTTGATAATACTTTCAATTACATCAAAGCAGGGTTACTTCCACTCACTTCGCTATAAAAAAATGTTTTTCGTAATTATGGAATCATTGGATGCTCTTATGAAAGTTTGTACTTGTCAGAAACAAGAAGAGGTTGAAAACTATGTATTTGACACATAAAACATGTCATTTTCGCTTTCAGTGCGTCACAATCAGCGAATTTATGATTCGTGAGCGTTCACTCAGAGTGACCGCTCACGAATCGTAAAATCGCTGATTGTGACGCACTGAAAGCAATAATGACAGGTGTTATGTGTCAAACACCTAGTTTACAACCTTATCTTGTGACTTACAACTACTAACTATCATTATAATATCTAATGATTTCATAATTCCGAAAAACATTTTTTTATAGCAAGTGAGTGGAAGCAAGCCTGCATCAAAGTTGTCTTTCCCATTGATAGAAGGTTGCTAATTTTGTCAAAGTTATTCAGATGCAATGTCCGGGCCAACAGGCTTATTGGTGTTAGTGAAATGTGCAAATGTGATATGGTTCCAATCTTCCATTGATTTCGATTGCCACCCATCATGCGCATTTTTCATGCATTTTAAAAATAAAACATGATCCTAGGATCCCATAAATTTGTGCAAGAGCAGCCAGGTAATTGGCGTTTATACCGAAATGCTACTCGATATTTTGCCATTTTTCTCCAAACAAGTGGCCGGCAAAATTTTGACACAGAGCTTGAGCTTGATATTCGGCCGAATTCTGTGGTGGCCAAATATTCGGTGCATCACTAGTTGTGAGTTTATACAATTTCTCGAAGAGGGTCGCAATAAACGAAAGATTGAATTGATCAATAAATGTCATTGTTGGTCACTTTTTTTATTGATTTAAAGTCACTATTTGGTCACTATTGTTGTTATTTTAGTCTCAAAAGTCACTACTTTTATATCACATAGAGGAGGACGGGATAAGACGGCTACCCTAAGCTTGATCCAAAATTTAACCAAAACTGTATAAAATTTCTGCGATGAATTTAGTGATTATTGATCTTTAGAGTACTTTCCCTAATAACATTTATGTTTTGAAAATTTCATTTTCATTTGATGATGTTTTATCACGAATCATATATATATGATAGCTCTAGAATGCAGGCCGCCGTCATGCGGAATGTTTGTTTTTGTTGTTTGACTTATTATCAAGCTAGAATGTGTTTTACAACACAAGCTATATTATAGCAAAGAACTCTGCATCATTTCTTTTTTTTCAAGAGTTGATTGTTTCAATAATCTAAAGGGTAGCTGTCTTACCCCGTCGTCTCCTACCTACTACCAGCCCTGATAATGGCACTAGGTTAAGTGAGCCAGTTTTTCACCCTAGTGGTCCTCTAATTGATCCTACCCTTATTTTCTATGTTATTAATTATTTACCAAACGTATTTCGATACCAGGTTAGAGCAAAGATTTTGCCATATAGGGGAATTTACGTATTCTCGTCAATCTAAGCAGCGTCTGCACTTCTACTAGCATTTTCTCAGCGTCACGCACATATATGATGTGTCTGTTTGTTTACATTCATCTGCTGCTTGCTTCTCTATCCATTCCAATCGACAGGATTTTTCAAAACGTTTTGAAAGCGTTTTTACAACGCTCCAAACTTCTCAGGGGAGTGTGACTATTGTCGGCAGTCTCTTTTTCTTCGGCAACCTTCCCATTAGAACTGCGTGTTAACCAGCTGTTCTATTATCGGCAACTCGAAATCAACCTCATTTTGTAGTGCGTATGCTTTATTTGAAGAAAAATGTAGCATTACTGGATTGCTCGATCGTTCAAATATAATCAGATTGAAGTTGAAAGGCTAAACAATCGTTTGGACACATTCAGGGAAGTGCGTTGATGGGAAAACATAGTGAAATTAACGTTTAAATTTTGGTTGCCGAAAACAGTCAATGGGTGCCGAAGCCAACATTTACCCTATGTATGCAAATAAAATAATGGCAAATTATTTTAAATTCAATTTAGGCCCTAGGGCCAAAATCTGGGGCAAGTGGTGAATCAAATTTTTAACTGAGATGTCCACCACACTATAGTTCTTGTCATTCAAAACAACTTTACTGAGGACAGCAATCTTCCATCTTTTCCCCATCCAATAGATCTTATCCATCTGAACAGCTTTGTCTAAGACCGCTACCTTCTATTTAGTCGAAGTCGCAAGATAAAGCAAGCAAGTTGGCACCACCTCGTGAGAGAATTTTTAACTGTTATGTTCGCCATCTTATGCGCTTGAACAACTTTGCCGAAGACAGAAACCTTCTAATTGGTCAAGATGTCATGCTAAGCAAATCATTTGAAAACATATGGCACATTAGTTCCATACGAGTTGTTCTCCCTCTAATAGGCCTTATCCATCGGAACAATTTCACTGAAGACCGCAACATTTCACTCAAAATCGTAGAAAGTGCTCGGGTTAACCTCCTATTTAGAACATCATAAATCGTTTAACCATGAAATTGAGTTTAACCACAAAGTCCGTTCTGCCTTCCAGTATCTATTGTGCTGTTTTGCTATAGAAATTTTATGCATATGCGTCTGTTTTTCCGACTACGATTGTTAAGCTACATGCTTACCAACCATAAGAGCCGAACAATGACTATCAAAACCCCCAGAAGAAAAATATAAGAAGCAAACAATTCGCTTCGTTTCGTGCTTTGTGTTGATGCTGATTATCTTTTACGCCGAATTCCCTAATTATTCCGTGTCCTGTTTTATTGTGAATTAAATTTGCGCTTCCGTTTTCAATGTGGTTGCCCACTGGGGCTTCGTGCTTTCTTGCAGTTATGCTCCGTCTCATGGGTTGCTTCTCGTACTTAGCTGTATGCTGAGAATGGCTACCGTACACTCCGTAGGTATAGACGACAATCACTTATTATTAAATTAGACTAATTGAAGATTGTGTCTTGGTGGTAGCTGTGGCTTTGTTCGCTTTGGTTATTTAAGTTTTTCAAAGTAAGCTGGATAAATCTCACATTAAATTGAAATGCTTTTGTCATCTATGCAGGTAACTATGTTTCAATGCTTCTTTTTTTTTATTGCATGAGTCGATACTAAACTTTACTAACACACGTTCACGTTCGGAAGCTGTCCACGTTTGATTGCATGTTTATTTTTTGTTGTGTACTCTAACAATACTCACTTGGCTGAAAGGTTCAGCTGTGAAAACTCAAAATAAGCAACGTCACTAATTAAGCTTTCATTGTCTTTTCTTTTCCTTTTCCTAATGCGTCTTCCAGCGGAAACAGTTCCAGTTCCAGCGACGAGGGATTTGATGAAATGTGAGTACATACCTTACAGGAAAATAACCAACTGAAAAACGAAACATTACATAACATGTAATATTCTGTGATTTTCTCGAAGGCATTTATCATCCGGTACGCTGGTTCAATTTACCTCGAGTGCTTTTGAAGTGATCTACTTAGATTAAAATTGCATCCATGCTGCGGAGGAAGGAGAGAAAAATGGATGCAATATTTTGTGAGATTAAAATCCATATTCCAGGCCATTCGTCGTCGAGGGTAATGCTTGTACGGAAAGTTTTAAAGCGAACGCTATATAAAAACGCTCACTAATGCATCAGGCTAGGTGAGAGCAGACAGGATAATGCAGTTTTCTAGTTCGCATCGTTTGCATATCTGATGCAATATATATGCAATTTCCTACCACGGCGATGCTTGCCGTGCTAGGTGCTTACCTTCAAACGATGATTGCTCTGATTGTGTACCCAAGTCATCATCCACACTATAAGTATTCATCTTCGATGCAGAGCATGTCGATCCGTGTCAGGATTCCACGGGGAGGAACAGAATCCACGCTTACTCACATAGAACACTTTTATGAGCAATGAAAGAGTTCCATCCCAACGATAATGCTCGTGTGTCAGGACCAGTGACGGAGCAACTAACAGCGAGTGAAGTTCATGGTACTTGTTGTGTTTGTTGTTGAACCTGGCTGAGAGGGTTGTTTCGCATTCCGCACTTGTGTAGGAGTTTACTGCTGTGGGGAAATATGAATGTTTTAGGATCAGAAACAGAAAGCGCGCGGAACTGGTTTGTTTGTGATGTGAAATGGTTTTGCGTAAACGAGGTTTTTGCTTCAATTTTCGCCGAGGTTTATTGTGTTCCAATATGACAAGCGGGGTTGGGAATAGTCTTTCAAATGCCAGTTTTTTCAAGATATTTAAAGATAGCAAAATCGATTCTATGGCTATTTTACCTTTTCATTGTGGAATTTCAGCAGCGGCCAATATGAATCCTTTTTGCTTCCAAAATTCTCGGATGGTGGTTGTGCTGAGTTTTTCTAAATCTTCTTGGGAGGCGCAGGCGGTACACCATTTTGTTCCTTTCTTCCTTTCTTTCTTTTTTGGTTTTTTTTTCGACGGTCAGCTATGTTAACCATCCAGTTTTGTGTACTGTAAAATGGGGTAACATTGATAGTTTTTTAAAGTATATTCTAAATATTTATTGCAGCTTTGAATACTTTTCAAATTTTATATTTTTAAAACAAGTACTGATGATCCAAGAGTTAATTCGTTAGTAAACTGTTGAACAAAAATTAAAGCATTTGCACTATTTTTTTTAGTTTTGTGACCAAACATCAGTATTTTGATTTTGGGTTACTTTGATAATGCTCGATGAATGTAGAAAAAAATGAGTGAAGCTCAAACAATTTAGTTCTTTAAATATGAAACTTTGAATGAGTATATAATCAGAAAACATCATAGGCAATAAGAATACAACATTGAATTTGTTATGCCTATATCAGAAATACATTTCATAAGTGATGGTTTCAGTGCTTTTTCAAACAGGCGAAAAATACGAAAATTGTTTTTTAATATGTTTGTAAAATATGTAATAAAAACTATACACGATATCAACGGAAACACCCTAAGCTACAATATGGAACCAATACTTCTAATTTATAAAAAGCACAGCGAGTAAATTTAATCTTTGTTTTATACTATCAAAGTAACCCGCATTATCAAAGATACCCCGTTTTACGGTACACGAAAAAAGTTGGGATCCCCTTGTTTATTTTGATACGGTAAGGTACTTGTTAAAGAACCTTAACGTTAGCTTAAAACCAGATTGAGCACCCACGGTTGCTACTCTGTTATTGCAAGATCAACTGTAATTACACAGTGAACCAATAGACGATGCTTGGGACCAGCATTCATCCTCAATGTGTATAAACTGGTGATCTCAAACTAGGCAATAACAACGTAGGTCAAGAAATGTCAATATGTTGACGTGACATTCACTTTGATGGAAGCCGAGGAGTCTCTGCACTTCCACGATGAATCACTTCACAGTGGTCCAGAATGCAGATTTAGGTGGAATGATATGTTTTGAGCCTGAAATTGAAACTTTAGACTAAAAGTCTCTTCTACAAAGTTGTTCCTTATAGTTATGCCCTCATTTTTATGACTTTGAATTCTAGGGTGGTTCCTATTATCATTAAAATCAAAAATCTAACTTATTTGTTTGAATAAATTAAGGTATACATTCTTCGGCAAAGTTATAGCTGAGCAACTTTGAAGAAAACAACTTTTTTGTATCTCTTAAATTGGCCGATTTAGAGCTATTTTCTTGAATTGCGTTAGGGTGGTTCTAAAAAAACAGTTGTTTTGCTCTAGTTTTCCTATTCCGAATTTCTCAGCAAAGGTGTCTTCAAATAATTTTTAGATCTTAAGAAGGCGCAAATTTTTGCCCCACAAAGCTTGTCAATATCTTTCGTCGATCAAGAGTTATTGACTTTTTTATACTGAAAATATGCACTATGTTATTATCAATAAAATGAAAAAAAAAATTGAGGTATGTTATTTTCTAAACTCATATAAAATCAATTTGAATTTATTCATGTTTTTTTTTACTATGTTCGGGTATATCTTTTTTATTAGAAGAGATACAGGCAACATATTTCGCTGTAAAACATTCGTCTTAAAGAGTTTTAAAAGTCTCTAGAAGATGACTTTCATGAGAAATTTCAAATTTCACTCTGGACCACTGTGCACTGGGATGGGAGGTAAGAGGGTTGGGATTGCAGCAGGGTTCATTTGGTAAACGATAAGCTGAATTGATGTCCTAACGATCATATAACAGCTTGGGATTGAACCCATGGTCTTCTGTTTAGTAAGCAAAAACGTTTGCCACTAGGCAAACGAGCTCCTTTTCAGTCATCGAGTTGTTGTTATTACCATGTAGCTTGCTTGAGCTTGAGCTTGATTGACCGCCCACGGTTGCTACTCTGTTATTGCCAGATCAGCTGTAATTACACAGAGAACCAATAGACGATGCTTGGGACTAGCAATCATCCTCAATGTGTAAAAACTGGTGATCTTGAATTAGGCAATACCAGCGCCGGCCGCGCCCGAACACAGGTCAAGAAAGGAATGGGAAGGATTGTGTTGACATGACACTCGCTTTGATGGAAGCCGAGAACACCTCTGCACTTCCACGAGGAATCACTGGGATGTTGGATAAGAGGGTTGGGTTTGCAGCAGGGTTCGTTTTGGTAAACGATAAGCTGAATTAATGTCCTAACGATCATATAACGCGAAGGAGCTTGGGACTAAACCCACGGTCTTCTGCTCAGTAAGCAAAAACGTTTGCCACTAGGCAGACGAGCACCTTTTTAATCACCGAGTTGCTGTTATTACCATGTAGTCATATTAACAAATAAAACGATTGACGAATCTTGATTGTGGATGGGCCTGAGATTAGACTCATGATGTTCTGCTCAGTAAGCAAAAACGGTTGCTCTAAGGCCACCGAGCCCCTCATATCACATAATACCGTTGCTCAAATTTTTGTATCCATTCAAACCCGGAACCAACGACAACAACGAGTTTCGCAAAATACACGATACACAAGCGATTTTACTATAAATCTCTTTGATATGTAAGGACCTGGGACCGCGTTTTTCTGCTCAGTAAGCAGGCCACTGTAACCGACGATCTTTCAAATCCGAAAACTAAAAACTACGAAAAAGTACTTAGGCCTTCATTAAGTTCCACATTCACGCGACGTACAATGTTTCAATTTGCTCTTTACGTATTGTTCAGGCTAGGCCCTTTTCAAAATTTACGCGAGAAATACGCACAATCGTCACCTACCTCGCAAAACTGGTTCCAAACGACAACAAAGGCATAAGCAACGATGGATTGTTGAACTTTGCTGGCTCCGGTGGTGTAGTGCACAGCAAAAAAAAATGTAATATCGATCAACGTAATTCAAGCTGATGTATGGAATAATGATGTAGGGTAGATGTACCAGTCATGGCTATACGCTCCTATTATGATGTGTTCCAATCATGGCATATAGGATTTCCATAGGCCATGATTGGAACACACCACAACAGGAACGCACAGCCACAACTGGTACATCTACCCTAATTGTAATTTTGTAATTTATCCGCACACACCCTGGTCGACCACTGTAAACCAATCTGCCGTTCAGCGTTTTCGGTTTTTGTTTCTGGATCTTTAGTTGCCTCTGTGATATACTTACTTGCGGCATACTATTTTGGGAGTGTATATGAGCGTGTACCATGTACGGTAGCTCATCTCTCATCGTGATGGTGGGACATAGCAGACAAATTAGAGAGAAAACAAGGAGGTATTAGTATTAGTTATATGTAAACAAACAAAACAAAAGTTAGATAATGCGGCACTGTAACTACTACTATTTTAGAGGTATGATTCGTCATGTTTAACTCAATGTTTCAATTGAGGCAAACTATCTATCTTACAATTACAAAAGCAAACCTAAACTTACAATTATATGCAAATGCAAAATGAAACTTGACAAATCATCGTCAATTCCCTTATTCCAGGGCAGGGCCTGACGATTTGAATCTAATTTTGATCAGTGAACGGGCACCATATGGTATATTTTCTCACCATGAACCTATCATTTCCAGCCTATCTGAACTATTTAATAAATGGAAGCCATAACATGGGTTACGCTCCCCTTAAGCGGGCCCTCCGCATCCTGTCTCTGTCTTATCTCAAATACAAAATGCCAATGGTATGAATGTATCTATATATAACTTGGAAATGACGTACAATCAAATAAACCCGTAACCCACTCACTTGGTCAGGCTTCAGAATCGTCCAGTGGGCAGTGCACTCTACTCTCCAAGTTCCCTTTTTTTCAAATTTACCACAAATTTGATATTTTACTCATTGAGTGTTGATTAGTCACAATGAAACATTGTGACAGAAGTTGAGGTTACTAGTGTATTAAATAATCTAGGTCCTATTTAGGATTATATCTGA